AATCGATTTCCTTACAATATGACAATGATACACTCATTATTCGCCTTTGACAATCGTGCTGCTTCCAAGGTAACCACTGAATAACAGTACCAGATCATTGTTTTAATAAGATTTGTAGTTATTTTTCTCAGAACTTCGAACGTATGGTTAAAAATCGAACGGAATTTTGTTATTTTTCTGAGAGCGTCGGGCATATGACCAAAAATCAAACGGAACTTTCCATAATTTGTTATTTTTTTGTAAAAACGCTAGATTTGATACCTTTTAAAGATCTCTTGTCATCCTCTGTTGGATATTTCACCTTTTAGAAAGAAATTTCTCTATTATTTTGTTTAAAATATGCCGGAACTTTTCAATTATATAATTCTTTATAATTATATAATTCGTGCCTAAGGCGCAGATCTATTGATGGCTGTTTTATTCGTCGTTTTGAGACATATAAATATGCTTATGCCTATAAAAGTATTTTGCGATTAATATATTAGACGCCTTCTAGCTATAAAATACCTCGTCTAGGAGTAGTAGTGATCGGTACAAGGTGTTTTCTTTGCATACATCATTGAGGCGATTAATTGCTTTGGAAAACGAAGCGAATATCAAAATGGCAGTAGATTGACTACTACGCGTTGTTTTAGCAGCTGAAGAATTTTGTGAGATACACATTTAAAGTAACATGTTGTGAATTATTAGCAGTTTAAGTGTTAGGCATTTTAAAATTCCCTCGATAATCATGAAGGCTTCAATAACAATAACGAGCCACAATCATTGGAGGCTTCGACGACATAAAAAGTCGTGAAGAAGTCTTTCACAACATCTGTTTGAGGCGCAGGAATTACTAGAAATATATGTAATAAAATGTAAGGATAGTTTGCAGTCAGTGTTTCATCCCTTAGCTGTAAACACAGACAGAGTACTGGACTCGTTTGGGCGAGGAAATCATCAGTACAACCTCCCACTTGCCATATAGGAGATAAGATTTTTTTTAATTTGCGCATTAGCCAAATGCGGCAATAATACACTGTGCATTTGCAGGTAATAGCTCGAGAAATTGCTCAAATGTTGGCTGCGAAGGAAGAATATGTACGCATCTCAAGGACTTTCCTTCGTGAATTCGTACGATCACTTCTTCGCGTGGATTTCGACTTCGCCCTCTTTTCCTCGCATCTCTTCAGTGCGGTCGTTGAAGATTTTTCACCTGCCACAGCTCCGGTATGTGACTCTTCTGCTATAACCTCATCTTTACCTCAAAAGTTCCCCGAAAAACTGTTGTTCGCTTACGCTTTTTTTGCTATTTTCAGGTATTTCTATTCAAATCACTGATTGATTTATGCGTGATGCTACCATTTCTGGCAATTACACCAACGGTTCGTGAAGGGGCACAGCAACGACGCAGTGCAAATGGTAATTTAACGCAGGCTCATATCGATGCACTGCAAAAGTTCGTTCATTTTCGTTTCATACAAATTTATATTTTACGTTAACAGTGCGTTTTCATCGTTGTACATCATCGTATATCTGCCGAGAATGGATATTTCAAACCATTTACCCAAGATCTGTCGTTGAGATCCAATCACTGAAGTCGTCTCTTTCCAGACTACGCTTCCGAAACTAGGGATTTTTTCAGCTTTTTTGTGATAATACTGCACTAATTTAAGATTAAGTGAAAATTTTGTTAGAAAATGGAGAAATGGATTATAGAAAAGGTCAAAAAAGAGTCAAAAAGGGAAAGAT